CTCAGGCCTGTTCGGTGTTCCTGTCACTGTGTGCTGCGAGGCTATTGTAACAGCTGTAAAAATCTTTGGTAGTCAGGGAGGGCGAAGTCTTCGTAGAATCATCCTGATTGATAACAGAGGAGAGGTGGTGAGGGCCATGCAGGAAGCATGTGACAGGTTTCTTCAGGGGATAAGTCCTGGAAACAGTACACCAAGTGATTTGGGGTTCCAGATGGGTGCTGCTGCCCAACACACAGCAAGAGGAGCCCCTGCTGGGGGAAGTGTCCACATAGAGGTCATTCAGGGAACTATTGAGACCCAGCAGGTGAGAAACCTTCTTGAGATGTTGACATTGCATTCATACATATGATTCAGAAGTTTTTAGACGTGCTGCCATAGCTGATGGATTGGTTTGCATACAGAAACAGAGATTCTACTTGTGGGCTAAACATGTTCACTTGGATAACATTACACACGTTTTCTCTTAGGTGGATGTGCTGGTTTCTCCTATGGCTGGCCATAGTCCTTGCTCTACCCGCATTGGAAACATTTTGTCCAATGTGGTTGGATCTGAGCTGACTGCAAAGTTTGAAAAGGAAGCAGCAGGAGGAGTTACACTGCCTGGCGACATAGTACTGGTGGAGGGCTTGGCTGGACTTCAGTCTAAAGCAGTGATCTTCCTCAATCTTGCACGCTGGCATAATAGCCAACATGACAATGCAGTTCAGGTGAAATCCTGGCTTCAGTGAATATATCTTTTGCTGTGGCGCTGAGTAGGTTTTGTGCAGTCAGTTTAGTTTTTTTTTTTAAACTTGAAACTGTATTTAAAAGCTAAGTGTCATAGTAATCTTTATAATCCTTGTATCTTTCAGGTTCTGAGGCAGGGCATAAGAAAGATTCTTGCTTCCTGCTCGATCAAACGCTATAGTTCAGTTGCTCTCTCTGTACTTGGGACTGGTGCTGTCCTGAAATTTCCTCACAGCTTAGCATCCAGGGTTATACTTGAGGAAGTCAAAGTATTTGACCAGGACCGAGCCAGCGCATCACCTTTCCTGATCCGTATCATCATTCACCCCAACGACAGAGAATCTAGCATGGTAAAGGAAATGCAGTTGCTTTTTATGTATCAAAAAAGTCATAAAGTCTGTCTAGTTTAAGTAAATGTTGATATCAACAATGCGATGAACTGGTAATTCGGTTATTGTTTATACAAATTCAGATTTAAAGAAATTGTTATCCATAGGATTATCTAATTACCATTAAAGCTGTTAACAAGTATAATAAGTTGAAAACAACAACCACATCACATTTTCTTTTCTGTTTAGCATGTGGTCATGGAACTGGATTAATGCTTTTCACTTTGTCTCTACAGGCCTTTCAGTCTGCCCAGGACACCCTGCATCTCAGAGGGTTCACAAATGATGCTAACCCAGACCAAGGTTGGTGTGAATATTTTAATAATCACCTTTATTTGGCCAAGTATGTTACACACACAAGGAATTTGTTTCTGGTACAGAACCGAGGCAGCCATCTGTGGCGCCAACTCACACCGATGGCTCTAACCATCAGGGGCAACTTGGGGGCTCAGTGTCTTGCCCAAGGACACTTCGACATGTGGACTGTAGGCACCGTGATTCAAACCACTAACTCTCTGGTGGGGAGATGACTGCTCTAGCCATTGAACGACAGTTGCCCCATATTTTCTTCTCAGTTTCTAGTTGAACAGGACTTTAGTAAAGTCCTTATTTTGAAATAAATGTACTAAAATTGTAAGACTACATTCATCATTTTACAGCCTTTTGGGACCAGAAACAATTTTTTAAACAAGCTGAGAAAAATAGCTTGGTCTTAACCTGGTCTTCCTCATCCTGTGGTTAAATGCTACTTTGGGCTTGTAGTGTACAGAGGTTGGTTGCT